TTCCCTGCCTGGGGCCCAGCATGTCTCGCACAGTAGCAGGCTGTGCCAGAGCTGTGATGCTCAGAGGCCACTCCCGGAGGACCGCTGGGTCTCAGGACCACACAGACCCGCGATGCCTAGAGCCCGCTCCCAGAGGACCGCTGGGTCTCAGGACCACACAGACCCGTGATGCCCAGAGCCGGCTCCTGGAGGACCGCTGGATCTCAGGACCACACAGACCCGTGATGCCCAGAGGTCATTCCTGGAGGACCGCTGCGTCTAAGGACCACACAGGCCCGTGATGCCCAGAGGCCACTCTTGGGGCACCGCTGGGTCTTAAGGACCATACAGGCTGGGCCACGGCCTCTCTGCATCCAGGAACCTGAGCTCCATGGGCGGTTGTGCCAAGCCGGGGGCGGTAGGGTGGCTTTTGGGTTCCCTTCTCTGGCCACTTCTCCACTGAGCTGCGTGTCACTGACCGGCCCTCCAGGGGAGAAGGAAAAGACAGAGAATTAACTCCCCTGGGAGAAAGGCGCGAAGAAGGAAAAGGAGAGAAAAGGACTTGCGAGCGTGTTTGGACTTCGCCACAATGAGACTGACTGACTCCACAAAACGAATCCCTTAGGCTCCTCTTCTTCCAAATGAACTGATACTATACCTCCATCCCGGCGCTGTGGAACAGTTATCCATTTTTCTGGCTAACACGCTTGACCTTGATTCTCAGCTCTGCCACTCACTCAGGGCGAGGTCAGTCAGCGCTCAGAGATCCCGGGTCCTTGTCTGGAAGACAGGTTCACGGTGTCTGTTCGCAGGCCTTCGGGGCTGAGGCGCGGTGTCCGTGGATGGCTTAGAAATAGGCGCCAGCAGGGACTCTCCCTGGCGGTCTAGCGGTTAGGACTCTGACGTCCACTGCAGTCAGTGCAGCGTCGGTCTCTGTTCTGGGAACAAAGATTCCACAGCAAAAAAGGAAAAGACAAGAAAAAGAGAGAGAGAGAAAGAAGCCCCAACTTCATTATTGTCCAGTAACGCATCTGTGTGACTCCCCCCATGACCCCGAGCTCCTCGCGTGCAGAGAACTATTGGCGTCTCTCTCTAGCCCCTGCTCCTGGAGGTGCTCAATATATAAAGTGAATAGTTGGTGTAGACACCTAAGACTGAAGGAATTCTTCTCTTCCCTCCCAAGAGCATCAATCTTTCAATTTCCTGCCATCTTTACTGTTTATTTAGTTTTTGACTTCCCTGATGGCGCACACGGTAAAGTGTCTGCCTACAATGTGGGACACCTGGGTTCAATCCCTGGGTCGGGAAGATCCCCTGGAGAAGGAAATGGTAACCCGCTGCAGTATTCTGGCCTGGAGAATCCCGTGGACGGAGGAGTCTGGTGGGCTGCAGTCCACGGGGTCGCAGAGTCAGACACGACGGAGCGACTCCACTTCACCTCTCACTTTACTGTTTATTTAGACATGCCCTGGGAAAATTAAACTACCAGATATACTGCCAGAAAGGTATTTTCCTACAACATTTCTATCTACACATACAGATACGTGTTTTAAATTACCTTTATTTTTGAAGTCATTTCACAGTTGCCGGAAAATTGAGCAGAAAGTACAGAGGCTTCCCAAGTGCCCTTCACCGTCCCCCATGACTCACTGCCATCTGCCATTAGCGCAGAGCCTTTGTCACAGCTGATGAGCCAGTATTGTACTACACATGATCATCGACAAAGTCTGCAGTTTAGAGCTTACTGTGTTGTGTAATATTTGAGTTGTTGTTTTAATTAATTAATTTTACTAATTTATTCATTTACTTTGGCTGCACTGTGTCCTTGCTGCTTTCCACGGGCTTTCTCTAGCTGCAGTGAGCTGGGGCCACTCTTCGTGAAAGTGTCTGGGCTTCTATCGCAGTGGCTTCTCTGGACACAGAGCATGGGCACTGAGGCTCAGGAGTTGCAACTCCCAGACTCTTGAGCACAGAGTTCATGCTGTTTATGTTGATACATATTCTGAAATTACCAGTTCAGTTCAGTCCATCAGTCATGTTTCACTCTTTGTGACCCCATAGACTGCAGCACACCAGGCCTCCCTGTCCATCACCAACTCCCAGAGCTTACTCAAACTCATGTCCATAGAGTCAGTGATGCCACCCAACCATCTCATCCTCTGTCATCCCCTTCTCCTCTCACCTTCAATCTTTTCCAGCATCAGGGTCTTTTCAAATGAGTTAGTTCTTCGTATCAGATGGCCAAAGTATCGTAGTTTCAGCTTCAGCATCAGTCCTTCCAATGAA